AAAAAAACTCAATTTATTATTTAAAATTAAACCATAATTTTATTATTTAAAATTAAACCATAATTGTATTATTAAAAAGGTCGAAGAGGTTGAAAAGAAGGGTTTTAAAATTATAAAACTAAATAAACAAAACAAAAAGGAAATCTCTGATGAATTATGAAAGAAAAAACTTACAAAATCCGAATTGAACACTTGTGATCAAATTAGAGAACGCCTTCTGATATCAAGAAATGTTATTAAAATTAATTATGATGAACTAAAAAGTGAATATTTGAATACAAGTGATAAAAAAAATTTTCTTACACAATTTCGTGAAAAATGGCTTAGATTTAAATCAAAAATAGTTGCCATAAAACAAAGTTGTGATATTGATGATGTTCTCCACAAAAGAGCAGAATTTTTACTTTTAGGAAATTATCTTGTTTCAACTGCAGACAATAACATATCAATTCTCAAAAATTATAACAAAGTTGTTTACAAGCGATTCTCCATTCTTAACGATATTATCGGAGATGAAATTTTATTACTTCCCTTCCATATATCATTTTACACAAAGAATAGAAATGTGAGTAAAGTAAAATCTTTAATAAAATGGTTCAAAAATGGTAAAGGTGAAGGTAGATATTTTCATTTTGTCTATAAATTTTCTTATATATATTTTCAAACCTTAACGATTCATAATATACAGAAAATGTTAATGATGATGATGATGATGATGATGATGATGATGATGAGAATGAGGTTTACGTCGAAGGTAGGTAGATCTATTTATTTTTTGTTTACATTTTCTATTTCTAACATCTCTAATGATTTTATCTTATATAGAAAGTGATAATTACGAAGGTTAATAGCAATTGCATAAGAAAATTTATATAGATTCTTTGTAATATTAAACTTATAAGCTGCAGGAAATATATTGAAATTGAATTGTCATTTAGATTTAGTTGATACAATAAAAATTATTTTTTATTTTTAATTTCTCAGTTCATTTTGTAATAGAATCATTTTCTTATTATTTCAATTAGATCTTTCAAAAAAGAAAATTCAGTGCTCTTTTTGTAACGAATTGATTAATCTTAGACCTCAAATTCAACAATATTTAGCTTCAGAAAGTTTTATAGATCAATTCGAAATTTGTCATATTCATACTTCAGAATCTCATGTTGTTCTAAATGGAAAAGAGAAAAATTATCCATTAACAATCGATTTTGATAATCTTTCAAAACGCATCAAAAAACTGTTTTCAGAATTATTAAAAATTGTAACCAAACAAACTCAAAGTTTATACAGAGATCAAGTGATAAATGTTTTCAAAAATTATAAAAACAATCCAAAAAAACCTTCTTTTTAATATTAAAATCAAATTAGCCAGGCTACTATTGAGCTAAAGGGTTATATATTATTAAATCGACATTTTAAAACCTTATTACATCGACTACTTGACATAGTATTAAAACAATTTGCTATGCAAATACTTTCACCCTTTAGACATCTCAAAACCGCTTCCAACTATGGATGCTTATATCGCAGCATATAAACTGGGATGCAACTTGGCTTTATATCAATAATAACTAAAAAGTCTTTAACTTTGCACACAGTTTCCAATCCTCAACTCTCAAAATCTTCAGAATTAAATTACTTGCAGATAAACTCCCAGCATCTCATATTCTTCACAAAAGAAATCCTCTTTACTCTAATAAATATTATAACTGCTAGCAAACAAGCTCTATTTTACACTGGTCTATCTGCTCCAACCGAAGTTTGTTATACAACCAAATACACAACTCATTACAATCTATCATAACCCCCAGCAAACTTCGGCTATAGTCAACCAATTATATACTCAAATCTTTAATTTTGACAGTCTTCAAATTCATTATCATTCACATAAACCTTCAATTTCTCTACACTCTCCGGCCTTATCCCATTTGATATTATCTATCCCTTAAATTGTTTTGCAGCCAAATTTGCCTGCAAAATTTTTTAAAATATAAATTTTTTTAATAAAAT